CATTCTATTTAGTTGTAATAGATTTAATATTAAGTCCGGCACTTAGGTTAAAAAACTACTGAATAAAACTATTATAAATAGCTTAGTTAGATGCAATTTCAACACAAGGTAACATGGCCACCCCAAGTTCATTCATATTTAGGCTGCATTAACAGACATGCCATGTCCCCAAACAGAGAGGAGTAGTCTGAGTTCTGTACATCAGAGCATACCTGGAATATTTTGTTCATTCGGGCATGACACATTTTAAGAAGGACACTGACAAAATTGGAAGGCTTCCAGGCAGCATCAACCAGGCAGGAGAAATTATGATATGCAAAATGAAAAGACTAAAGATACTTAGCTAGTACATGAAAAATACATCAGGTGACAGCAGGGCTAGAAGGGCTATAATGGCTGCTTGGACAAATAAGGGCCAGGCTTACTCTGGGAGGCCCCAAAGCCAGGGACCAGATCAGGGACAAGAAGCCATAAGGAGGCAGATTGGGATTCAACATGAACAATAGCTTTTACATAACAGAATGTATAAAAAAATGGACTAGGCCACCCCAGGGCCAATGAACTCCTCATCACTAGAGGGATCCAAGCAGAGTCTGGGAAATTATGGGTAACAAATACATCAGGTAGCAAATAAGAAAAAGAAATCCAGTAGCTTCTACATATTGAAAGATGATCAATGCCACTCATAAAAATAAAAAACATTTGGGGAGGCCGTGGGGGTGGGGGAGGGGGGCGGAGAACAGGGGTGTGGGGATAAATAAATGAATAAAAGATATTCAAGTTAGACTACCCCAAGAGAAAGATGGAAGGCTTTCACTCCTGCCCTCAAGGTTTATAAAGCTACAGTAATTGAGGCAGTGTGTATATTGCCCTGGTAATAGAGTCCAGAAAAGATCCAGACATATGTGGTCAATTGATTTTTGAGAAGGATACAAAATCAATTCAGTGGAGAAAAGATAGTTTTTTCAACAAACTGCTGGAACAATTGAACGCTCAGATGAAAAAAACAAACCTGGAAATAGCTTGCACCATATACACAAATTAACTAAAAATGGGTCACAGCCCTAAATGTAAAACTATACAATTTCTAGAAGAAAAGATCAGAGAAAATCTTTGTGACTTTGTTTGGATTTCTTAGAGTCAATACCAAAAGCATAACCCACAAAAAAAGAATAATTTGGAACAGAGTGGCAGGGGGAAGAGTGGGAAGGAGAATTTTTATTGTACATAATTTTGTGCTTTTTGATTTTCAAACCATGTGAATGTATTATACATATTTTTAAAAAATCAGCTACCTCTCACCTATAGGTAGATTCCCAGGGACTCAAACAGATGTGTGTACCCCACATTCACAGCAGCATTATGCACAATAGCCAAAAGGTAGAAGACACCCATGTGTCCATACAAAGATGAATGGAAAAACAAAATGTGGTACACCCATACAACAGAATACTATTCAGCCCTAAAAAGGAAGAAATTCTGACACATGCCCCAACATGGATGAACTTTGAAAATCTTACACTAAGTGAAATAAGACAGTCACAAAAGGACAAATACTGTATGAGTCCTCTTACTTGAGGTCCCTTCCATAGTCAAATTCATAGAGACAGAAAAACAGAATGGGGGAGCCAGAAAGTGGGAAGGAGGGGAAAAGGGCAGTTGGTGTTTTATGGGCACAGAGTTTTGGTTTGCGAAGATGAAAAAGTTCTGGAAATGGATGGTGGTGATGGTTGCATAACAACACGAATGTACTTAATGCCACAGAACTGACTAAAATGGTAAATTTTATGCTGTGTACATTTTACCACAGTAAAAAAAAAATCAACAACTTGATTCTGATTTTGCAATTGGCTCTGGCTCATGTTCCTAAGTGTTACTTCCCCCTTGCATTCCATGCAAACTTTAGGGATGTTTATGCTCTTTTAGATACACATTTGGGTCTCTCTCCAGTATATATCTTTTCGAAGCATTTTCCAATATGTTTCTGCCCACTTCCCTACTAAGGAACACTGCTGTCACAAGTCTCTTTTTCAAAAGGATCCTGAAATTAAGAAAAACGGGTTCATGCAACTACACTAAGATTTCTGATTTCCCAAAGGCCACTGTCAGCCCTGAAAGGGTCTCCTTCCCTTGGGCACCCCTCACTCCTGTCACTTTTTGTCTTTGGAGCTCTCAAAGCCCAAAGCAACCAGTGTGAGATGCGCCTGGCTTACAGTCATCATGTTGGGTCTAAATCTGGCCATTACCCTACTTGCCGTGCCATGTGACCGATACTGTTTACTACTGCCTGGGCAGCCACAGGCAAGGCTTATAATTATACAAACCCCTGATCACCAAACCACACATTCTGGCTGGCTGGTCCGTTGGGAAGAAAAACATTCCTGCTGCAGCCAGGGCCTACCCTTTCGTTCACCTGTGCTACTGTAAACAAATCCAGGCCTGCTCGGAAACCATGGTTCAAACATGATTTTTAAAGGAGCCTATCTTTTACATAAAGAAAGACACTCTAGTGGAAACAACACTGGCGCGATAACAAGATAAAAAACATTGACACGTGTTTACCAGTGGGGAAGGGCCACCCGTGACCTGGAACCGTCTCACTCGAATACCAGGAATGGACTTAGAGGCTTTGTGTCTTCCCAGCTGGGACTGCTATTGGAAGAACTCATGTTTTACTCACCAGGTGAGGCTCAGTAAAGCCTTGGGGGTGGGTAATATTTGCGTGAGCACTCTTCTCTCTCCCTATGGAAACTGTTTCCCAAGCCCAACTTTAGGGAAAGAGCAGTGCGGAGAAATGAAGGATGGCAACCTTCATTTCTCATTAGTTCTGCAGGAGTTAAGCTTTCCGAGAGACTGATTCTCAACAGTCCGAGCTGGCACTCCCTAGCAACTTCCAAAATAGAAATGTGAAGGCTTTCTGTTTTCTTCCATCTCACTGCCCAGCCCTGGCTCTCTGGGTCTGATCTTCTGACGACAGGTCACCACAAACAAGGGGTGGGAGTAGGGGTTCAAGGGCAGTTAACTCTCAATTATTTGGTGTTTGATTATCACGGGAATGATGTGTACTTCACCTCCCTGGCCCATGCACTGTTCCATGGTATCCACCAGTTTCCCTATTTGAAGTTCTGGCAGAAAGAACTAGTAAGCAAGGAGGTTAAAGCTAACAAGGCAGCTAAAATAAGACTTGCAGAGTATCTGTAGACTTTATTTGGACATGCTGTCCCCTGTTCCAGGGTTAGTGATAGTCTATGTTCTGATGTGTTCTGATCTTTACAGTGATTTTCAAACTTTTTTATCCCATGGATCACTTTTATTTGACTCTTTAGATAATGAACCATACCTGTGCCATTGCTTAAAAAAGAAAAAAAAGTTAAAAGCACCTCATTGTAATACTAAGATCAACCCTTCTTTTCCAAGATTACCATAAAGACACATCACACCGGTATTTCTTCTTTCTTCAGTAGTTCTCAAACTCTTTCTGCCTCCATCTTGTTCTTAGACACAACACATTCCCCTTAATAACATCTCTAATGACACTACAACGGTTGCCCCCAAACGGGGGAAGAAGTCTACCGTGCCCTGACTCCACCCCTTCCTTCCCTCTCAACTGAGAATCACTATAATCATTTATGGCCCCAAATACATAGAGACCACAATAAATATTAAAACAAAAAAAATCAGCCAGTGAACTACCGGCTGGTTACTTAAAATTAATGAATGCAAAATATTCAAGAACCTAGTAAGTGCTAGACTCCATGCTATAAATACCTAAATATAGAATTCCTATACATACCATCTCATTTAATGCTCACAAACACCCTGCAAGAGGCTCAGAGAAGTTAGGGAACTTGATTTCCTCAGATCACACGCAGAAAAATGGCTTTAATGGATAAAGAATTTAAAAATCTGGACCTCAGCGTTCCGGACCCTGGCCCTGCCTCTTTGCCTCTCCCAACTGTCTCCACATTTGTAAAATCAAAACGTTAAAACCGTCCCCAACCCCGACTTCCACCTTCTAGGAGTACCTAAGGAATAACTGAATTATGTCGCTAAAGCTAACTAGCTTGGATAATGCACAAGAAAACCATCATCACCCCGCATGCACAAAATCACACACTAGAAGGAAAATAGATTCAGTACAGCGTTCCCTCGTTTTTCCACCTAGAGCCACACAAAAACTGGATGAAAGGGTGGGATGCTGCAGCACGTGACTAAATCAACGAATGCGCCAAGTGCAGCCTGTGGTTACACACCAATCAAAGAAGGGCAGGGTTTCCCTCGCATCTAGCTCTGGGCACCGGGTAGGGGCTCACAGCGTGGCATGGGCGGGCCTGTGACATTGGAGTTTAGGGGTGTGCGGCAGGGGAATGAGGACACAGTACAGAAATCGGCTTATAGGATGGCAAGTATTGTGTTCCTATGGTTGCTTCTAAGAAGTCTTTAAGCGATTCGGAAAAGACGAAGGGGAAAAAAGAAAAAGGCAGGGCATGCTCCAAACTGCAACATTGCTGCTCAGGATCGAGAAGCCCCTCCGCTCCATCCACTGGGCATAGGGGACGCGGTCAGCACGAGGGCCGGGCAGCAGCCCACAGCACGTGCAGGGGAACAACGGTCTGAAGTGGGACCAGGGATGGGGGACCCCTAGGACCCAGTAAGTACACTGGGCATCAGCGTTGGACGTTCTCTGCACCACGGCCCCGGCACAAACCTGGGTAGGAGGGGTTCTTTGTTGGCAGGAACCTTCGATTCAGATGCAGGACCCCCGAGGGGCCAAGCGAGGGCCGAGGGCAAGTGTGAGCCCCTGGGGTAAGAAAATGGCCAAGAGCTGGAGGCAGGGGCCTGTTCTTGACTCCCCCTTCGAAGGGATCCTCCGAGGCCGTTCCCTGGGTGCAGACCCCACATTCCCATCCCCTCGGCCAAGAATCCAGAGGATGCGGAAGGCCGAGCCCCACGCCCCCTTGCTCCCCTTGCTCGTGCCCCACCGGCCTTCTTGTACTTACCGGGGCCCGGGGGCCTGTCTTCCTCGCCTGCGTCCTCTCCCCTCCCTGCCCCCTCCTCACTTCACGTCCCCGCCTCCAGGGGCCGGAGCCATGCCCGTTACTGGCAATTCAAAGGGGACTTGCCTCCCTTCTCGGACAACAAAGACACCCGCTAGCAAGTCAAAGATCTGAGTGCCTATTGGTCAAAATCTGAGACGAGCTGGATTTCTGGCCTCTTATTGGCTGCACGGCCGCTCGGCTGTAGCTACAACCGCCCTTCTAGGAGCCTGGCGGAATTAAGTGCCAAGAGATGCGGTGGCGGGAGCGCCCAATCTCTGTCCATCCTTTTGTCGTATAGCTCGAGCCGTTTCTGGTCCAGAAGTCCTGACCAGACGGGAGGGCACGGCTTCCGCCTCGATTAATTCTCCTACGGAATTATCCTACAAAGATGGACAGAGCTTCCTCCTCCTTGCTTTTTTTCTTTCTTTTTTAAATTAGCCCTTTGCAGAGCTCCCCTGTCTCGTACTTCTAAGCTTCTTGTTACCGGGAACAAATGCCTAGAGACACCTTGCTCAGAGACCTTGGAGGGAGTCCCTCAGGGACTAATACTTCGTCCAAACCAAAGCTGGAGAATCTAAGGTAATAACTGCTGTTTTCCCCTCAGCTCGGCTGAATTCTAAAGGGAAAAAAACAAGTAAAAATTTTTTTCTAGATAATGAGAGAAATCGCCTGGGAGACCTCTCTTGGGAAAACAAAGCAAGCCTGTGTCAGTATTTACTTCTGTTTTTCCAGAGATCTAAGCCTGGAAACTTGGTGTTTTGCTTTTGTTTTTTAATCTGTAAAATTGGAGGAGGGTCCCTGGGAAGGAAAAGTCCCTTCGTCCTATTAATGAATTTAAGTATGTAATTAAAACCTCCCCTTCTCGGCTGGACTGGAAGGCACCATTTCAGTACCTAATCTACATGTGAACTGATTTAGCTGTTTGCCTAAACACTGGTAGAATCTCATGTCACCTTCCTGCACACAAAAATCTTCTGCAGTTTATCTTTGCAAGTCGAGGAGGTCCATATCTCTCTGCCTGACATTTGAGTCACATCATAAATCGCCTCAGACATGCATTTTTCAGGAGAACTCTGCAAAGACCAAACTACTACTGCAGCCACACACATTCACCACCATCCCATAAATGCATGTAGGACCCTCGCACTCTGCTCCTTTACCTAAGAGGTTCCCTGTACTTTGAAGATTCCAGTAAAGCCAGCAGTCAAACACACACCCATCCTAGAGGTGCACCTCAAGCACTGCCTGCCCAAAAGCCTCCCCTGACTTTCAGTCATTGAAACTCTGGCGTTGTACCTCTTTTCTTGTGCCTCCACTGCTGCCTTTACAAAAGTATCCTTTATACAACACTATTTCTGCAAGACCTCAAGCTCTCCGAAGGCAGCTGACTTATTCTAGCTGGCCCCATAGCACCTTCCTTGGGGCCTTGTACCCAGTAAACGTTGGCTACACTGAACTAGTCAATTGCCTATATATTACGTTGTCCCACCTCATCCCAGAAAGTTTACATAGCTGCATTTGGAAGATTAATACATGTAAAATGGTCATCCTGCCCTGCTCCACCTTGTTTCCCAGTCCCCTCTGGCCACACTGTTTCTCTGCTCCACTGGGTTTTATGAATATCACTCGATAAATGTGAACTGAGCGCCTACCAGTTTCTGGGGCTGTGCTATAGTCCTTCACCTTAGGACCATCCCCTCTGTCAGCCCCCTAGCCATAAAACTTTGATGAATAAGTAAACCAAATCACTCGAACCAAAACATGCCAGTGCACCCACTCTTAAGTTCACCCTGGCCGGTCTTTTTGCAGTGCTGAGGTCCCCACGGCCATGTGCAGTTGGTTGTCTAGCAACTTCTGGCAGCTGGACCAGTCCATTCTTCTGGAGCCTTGCCTGTCTCCCTACCAAGATGACCTTGATGAAAAGACAAATTCCTCCCAGTGGACATTTCTCATCACCTTCATTTCTCCCTCAGCATTCCTCCAAGAAAGAGAGATTCCTCTTTCTTTATCCTTAGGACCTTCCTCTTCCCCTGCCCCAGCCTTGCATGCTAGTTCCCATCTCTAGGCCTCTTCACTGCGCCCGAGAATTGCCCTTCTTGCCTCCTCTCTTCCTGGCTAGCTCCCTGTCATCCTTGAAGGTCAGGAATTGTCTCTGTTCTGTTTCTCATAATTCCCTGTATATAACTGGATCATTTCACTTACCACATTGTTTTATATCTTTGACAGGAAAATGGTATTAATAATGCATTAGTATCCACAGCCTCTTTCTCTCCTCCTGCCTGCTAAGGAGGATTCTTCCTGCCTGTTAGGTTCCCAGATCATTGTACAGTCTCAGAATAATAGGGGCAAGGTATTTCACCCAATCTGCTCAGGTGTTTCTCAGGCACGGACAGAATCATCCTTAGCAGACAGGAGGAGGGAAAGAGAAATGAAGAACAGGATTTTAAGAAGATTTTTTGAAAGTCATTGATGTTATTTCCCCTTTGGCATTTTTCTCAAGAGACCACAGAAAGATTTGAAGTTGCCTTGTAATTATTTTTGGATGCCATCTAATGTTTCTTTGATGATTCTGTATAGAGACTGGACATATCCATTGCTAGGCTTTATATATTAATAGCATTATCTGTGTGGCATTTCTTTTCCTGTGAGTCCTTGAGTCCAAGGACTGTGTCTTATTCAGCTTTGTGTCACTACTGATGAACAAAGTACCTGGCACCCAGGAGATGTTGGGTAAGTGTTTGTTGAATAAATGAGCTAGTGCCCTGTTAGCCTCTCTTTTGCATCGGTAGTGGCTTCCCTTCCATTGGATCTTTTCCATAGCTGTGCAAACATTCATAGTTCTCATCTGTCCTTAAAACAAAAGGAGGAGGGGGTGGGAGAGGGAAAAGAGAAGGAGGAGGAAAGAAAGAAGGAGGGGAGGAAGGAGGAGAGGACTTCTAACATCAAGTGGTCTGGTCTGTGTAACACTCCTCGGCCATACAGCTGACGAATCAACTAGCAAGAAGCTCCCTCTCCTTCTGCGATGTTACATCTCTGTTAAACCAGCCAGTATAGTAACACCCAGTGACCTCACCTTAGCTGGTACAGCCAATAGAGAATCACTACTTCATTTGTTTTGGGACCCTATGGGCTATTTCAGAGCTATAGCTGAAAATTTCAATGTCACATGACTCTAAGAACCATGTTTCAAATGTTGTTAAATCAGCCTGGAATAACCCTCTTTAGAACCAACCAGTGACATCACGATGTGTTGGCCTACCTGCCAGTTGTTTACTGAGTCCCTTGCATGTGCCAGGCCTGGGGTTGGATGCTGGACATATTGTGGTGAATAAAACTAAGGTGAATAAAACTAAGATCCCTGCTCTTAAGCCGCCAGTATTCTAGTGGAGGAGACAAGACCTTTAACAAATAACTAATTATATCATCATGAGTGTGCAAAGTGCTAAAGATGAGCGTCTCTAATGGGATCCTAGTAACCACCTCTTTGGTGGCTGGAGATGGCTGTCCTGAAGAAGTGATGTTTAAGCTGAAATCTAAAGGATGACTACAGGTTGGCCAACCAAAGGGAGTGAAGACAAACATGGTGTGTGCAAAGGCCCTGAGGAAGAAAGGTATGAGACTGAGGAATTAAAGGGGATTCCTGCATGACAGGAGCTGGAAAGGAGAGGAGCGGAGTGGTGACAGACAGCTGGGGAAGTGGGGTGGGGCAGCCCACGTGGAGTCTTCTGCACCACATTAAGGGTTTGATCTGTATTCTGAGAGTGTCAAAAAACTACTGGAGGGCTTTAAGCAAAAGAGTGCCACAATCTGGTGGGAATTTATAAAAATAGTTTGGCTGCTGAGTAGAGAATGGGTTGTAGAGAAGCAAGAGCTGCTTTGAGAAGCCCAGAGAGGAGGCGTGGCAGTAATCTGAGTAACACAGACCCTGTGCTAAGTTGGCAGCAGCCTGGATGGCAAGAAATAGATGTGTTTGGGAGATGTTTGGCAAGTGGACAAGGCAAAATTTAGTGCTTGATTAGACTTAAGGTTTGGGGAGAAAGAGAAGGATGACTCCTAGGTTTCTAGACCCTGGACCGTTATGGTATCAGTTATAATGACAAAGTGCCTCTGTTAGCTCCAGGTGCCTGGAAAAGGCTAATTTAGAGCAAAGGACTGAACAAAGCATCATCCAGAAAACATTCTTGTTTATTTATAAGACTTCCCTTCATCAGATGGGGATCTGAGGGGTGAGCCAGAAAATGTGAGCAACTCAGCAGGACTAATGCAGGTTTTTGAACAAAGAGGTGCACCCCCAGTCACATGCAAGCGGAAGCAGACCCCTCCAGCACTGGAGCACCCTCCGCCATTACACCATCCTTTCTGCCTAAGGGCTGGGTGACAGGAGGAAATGCTGATTGTTTAACATCCCTGGGCTGCAGTTCTTTTAACTCAGCTGAGCTAAACACCACAATCAGAATTAGCATCTCTTGCCAGAATCCCAGTGTCGGGATCCACATCCTGCAAATGGCTAAGTGCCAATGGTTGCAGCTAAAGTTTCAGACCAAACCACAAGCACATCCAGGCTCTTCAGGAGGATGGACCAAATGATCAAAGGACGTGAGCTTGTGTAAGAAGAAACCAACTGTTAGGACTTGGGGAGTGTTTTTGGAAAAAGTTTCAATCAATAAGCAGAGAACACTAAATTAGACACAAAGGGGTCATTTCTTACCTGTTCAGTTAGATAAAATAATAAAATTGAATAATGCTGAGAATGTGGTGAAACTTAATAGGTTTATACATTCTTTTGATTGCAATGTATATATTGTCACAATATGTTGGATGGGCAACATGACAGCAGGAAATAAAGACCATGAAATGGTCAACACTTTGTCTTGATTATCTCTCTTTATGATAGTACAACTTTAGGAAATAATTCCAAAGCTGTGGTGCGGGGTGGGGAGCTACACCTTCAACTTACACGTTGTTATATGTCAATTATATATCAATTTTTTTTTAAAGGGGAAAAAAACAAAGACTAGGCTAAGCTATAGGATGGTTAGCCATTCAGGGTCAGGGTAGAGCTTGGAGCACAGTGT